GTGTTAATAATAGCGTTTAAGTACTGGGACAAGATAGTTTAAGTATTGGGACAAGTTAGAAAACCTGTTTAAGCACTGGGCCATAGCAGGTATGTTAGAATTCGATTAATTTACTTTGTTTTTCTTTATAAACCCAGTTCTTCAAAGCTTTATTTAGTGAAAACATAGTCTGGTTTTTTAAATAAATACTAATACTCACCACCAAAAGTTAAATTATACGAGTATGATTTGTATATGTTAAACAGCTCTCTTAAACGTTTAAGTATTAGGACATTTACCTTACTTGCTCTTTTTTTTTATCTAATTGGTTGAATCAGAAAGAAGACATTTTCAAAGACACGTGACTTTATTTTAGTCACGTTGGGCTGTGTTCCGATTCCCTACCTTAGTAGATCCGAGTGTTATTTTATCTTTGTTTTAAATCTAGTGAGTGATAAAGAAAGTATACCCGGGCGAGGAATCGGAATATAGCTTGTGTGCGTATCCTGGCCGCTCTTATAGCAATTTTGGCTGGTCTACGACTGCATATTTTGGGTGTTGATGTAACTTGTGTGTTCGGCTGGTCGAATGGTGCAGTTCCTTGCTGGTGCCGCGTATTCGTCTGAGCTCAGTATACTGTATAGATGCATGTTGGGTGTACACAAAGTGGCTATCGCAAATTAGTTGGAGCCAGTTGGGCTGCGGTCCGTTTCATGCTTAAGCGCACATTTATCTATAGTATACGTGACATATACTATAGATAAATGCGCGATTAAGCATGAAACGGACCGCAGCCTTGGTGTGGTCTCGTGTTCGGCTGATACCAGAGAGAAGCCTGAGAGCGGCCACGGCCATAAGAGTTTCTGTCATAGCTTTTCGAGGACATGGTTCTATTCCGTGGTATGAAAACACCGACGTGGTGGGGATACGCACACAAGCGAGAACCGTCGTCATACATCAACATAATATGTCTGCACACTTCCACGAGCGCACACGGACAACGGTCTCGCTTGTGTGCGTATCCCCACCACGTCGGTGTTTTCATACCACGGAATAAAATCATGTCCACAAACTTAGCACGGAATAGAACCATGTCCACGAAAAGCTATGACAGAAACTCTTATGGCCGTGGCCGCTCTCAGGCTTCTCTCTGCTGATACACACTAGCGTGGTCGAAATATTCAGTGCAACACCACATGAGTGTACGCGCTGCACACTTGCACCAACTCTACACAGGTGGCACACCGGTGCAGACCAGCCGAAATCGCTATTAGCAGAGAGAAATCTGAGAGCGGCCATCCTATTGTAATTTTTTACGACAGTTTCAGTCACAGACTTCTATATACTACACTAGACCGCTAGCTCGCGTGATTTCAGCGTAGATAATGGCTACAAAATCTATGTACAATGGGGGTACTGTGGAATGCGGGTTTCATTGGTTGATTTTGACGATAAGGAGAGTTTATCCAATCATTGCCTATATACTTATGTACGTGCGCGACGATGCATGCGCAGATAGCAATTCAGCAGTTCAGCATAGTGAAGGTTATATGGCGGTTGACGGCATAAAGCACACATTAAAAGAAACGAAAACCAATATGCCAAAATATTGTGTTTTTGGCTGTCGAAATAAGGCAGACAAAGAAAAAAACCATACAACTCAATCAGCTGTCAAACATGACGGCCATCTTGCATTCTTCAGTACTCCCATCTTCCCCCTCCATGACGACTTAAGTACATAGATTTTGTAGCCAGCCGTACAAAGAAGCTAGCGGTCTAGTATACTATAGAAGTCTGTGGTTTCAGCCGCTGGTTTTAGCCGTATTTCCACAAAAGTGGAACTCAAAGGCCGTTCTACATTAAACGCAAGTTTCAGATCTCGTGGAATTGACCAATTGCAGAGTCAAATCAGCCAATCGACCAACGTGATTCATCAGTTCCACGAGACCTGCGACTTGCGTTTAATGTAGAACGGCCTTTGAGTTCCACTTTTGTGGAAATACGGCTAAAACCAGCGGCTGAAACCGTCGTAAAAAATTACTATAGGATGGCCGCTCTCAGGTTTCTCTCTGACCAAACCAAACCTAGAATGATGCAACTGCGCTGATAGCGCGCTCTCCGAACGCAGCCTTTGAATGTAATTCTCCTAACTTATCAAATAGGTCATTTGATATGAAAGGTTGATTCATGCTAGTATGAGAAAATACTTTTATTTCTTTTACTTTCTAAAAAGTTTGATTAGAAAATAACAAAGAAAGAGTGATGTAATTAAATATTTGTTGTGTAATTTATATTCTAGAGAAAATGCCGAGTATTATGAAGGACACTGTAATAAATAACTGCTCGAATCAGCAGGTAAGATAAAAAACAATAGATTACGTTAAACAAAACATTTTAGAAATTTACTTTTATAACGTATGAGGTGATTAGATATTAGTAAAACTAATACCGACAAAAAAATAATATTTAAACAACACTGAAATTGGTTTTTAAACAGGAATATGAAAGACCAGGAGCTTTTCTTAATTCAAAAGTACAAAATCTTCATCAAAAGATTGATGGTAATAACAATAAATATATATAAGTGAAAATTATTTAGATGTAAAAAATCTACATTGTATACTTGATTTTAGATACCATTCCTGTCAATGCTGTTCCGATTAATGTAACAAGTGTGAAGAATCCATATCTTATGACAGCTTATGTAATAAAGGAATACGAAAAGACCATAGAGCAAATTGTGAGAAAGTTATGGAAGTTTGTTAAAACTGAAGAGTTTTTGAACAAAGACAATGATGTGGATCTTAACATCGGTGATGTGAGTGATACTTTTATTATGGCAGAGTTGGACAAGTTTCTCATTAATCTGAAAACATTATTCTATTTTTATTACATAAAAGAAATGCATATTAGTTTTCTTATTAAATATATTTTGCAGATGGTTATTGTGCATTGTGAAAATTACAGAAATATGATAGAGTTACCATCGTTTATTTGCCGTGGTTTAATAACAAATATTTCAAAAGAAACTGGAGATTATTACATTTTTCTGGTTGATTATGGCACTTGTGTCAAATTAATCAGAAATGACTTGTCTGTGGTCTCACATAATTTTCTCTCTACAAAACATTTAACAAAGTATGTCAGTGTGTACAATATCTTGCCGCTTTGTCAAAAAAGTAACAGTTCAAGCACAACAATTCTAGAAGAATGGAGTAAGGAGGCAATTCAATATACAAAAGATCTTTTTGCGGCATCTAAAATCATATATTTTGATTATGTAATGACTGCGGAAAAAAGTGGAATAGAATATGGAGAATTTTATTTAATCATTGAGGACATGACCATACATCTAAGTAATATCTTAGAGATCAAACATCATGCGATTTGTTCAGAGAAAGTGCAAAAACTTGTTAAATCTTTGAATTACAAACAAGAAAATAAAACAGAGCCTGTTGTGCATGTGAACATTTCAAATAGAACAAACAATAAAATAAAATTTTTCAATTCTTTGAAGAACTCTATGAGAAACAAACATATTTTTCACAGTGACAAAATTCTGATAAAGAGCCACATATACTGTGGAGTATTTACTGATGTTAGTCATCTTGGATATCCCCATGAAATATATGAGGGTTGGAAAGAATTCTTTAAATCTACGAGACCAATGAAGTTACAAAAACATATGTGGCCAGCTATAAATAAAAGATTGAACGTTGTCGCTGTCGGGCCACCGCAATGTGGCAAAACTAGCGGTTGTGCAATGGCTGCGTGTGGCTTAGCCACTTTGTACAAACATCAATCACATAAACCAACTGAACCGTTGATACTATTCTTATGTTCTTCATCCTCTGATGTAATAGATGTTCAGTCGATATGCACATCACTTTTAGAGAACATTGATGGTGTTAAATCTGTAGCAGCACTTAACAGAAGAACATATAGATCAGTAGCGGCGACGATATATAGCGGCTGTCAGATTTTAATTACTACACCGCGATATCTAGTTCGCTTCCTGAATACGGCCAAAGGTGTGTTATCATTTAACAAACTTACATGTTTAATTTTGGATAATGCTGACATCATTTTGCGAAAATATTATGATTCAGTAAGTATAAAACCTCGAATTATACTTAATGTTTCTTGCTATGATAGTGAAAGTCATGAAATGTTTATATAACACAGATGGCAGAATTGTTCAAAAAACACAACATAATCAAAAACCGCGAAGTACAAGGAGACAACGCACCGATATTACAAATAATTTTATCGGCAACGTATTGGACAACTGAAATGAACAACTTTGTGCCTGTTACAATGTACAAACCGTATATATGTATCGCATCGCTTTCAGAAGCCATTGTTTTCAAACAACAAATTGTAGGTCTGGAATTGCATAAAGTGAAATCCGGGCTTAAAACTCATCTGGTATCAGGTGAAACAAATTATCATAAATATATGTTCTCTCTAAACACATTTAATTAAGAACAGACTAATATATATCATGTATATATGTGTTTATAATAAGTACATAATTGGTTTAATATTTTCTAGATCTGTTGAAAGACGATTACAAGTCATTGAAGACAATGATAGTATGTATGAATTCGAAAGAAGCTAAAGAGTTAAAAGCAAATTTACTTCCAACAAAAGAAACTATATTGATTCATGAAGAAATGAAGTTTTCTGAAATACAAAGTACAACAATTGTGATATTTTTACACATTAACATAATTAATACACTTGAAAATATTCTAATATTTTCAATTATCAATTTTTATGCCTTTCAATTTTTATAGCCTTACAAGAGGATTGGAAAGCATGTGTATGCGATTTCTACCCAGTTTTGATATGTACTGACGCGGTTCTATCTAAACTTAATTTTACCGATATTCAGTGGTTGATACATTATTCTGTGCCGTCAGAGACAAAAACTCCGTTTAGTTATAGATTGTCTGTGCTTTTGGATATCTTATCACAGGTAACTAGTTACTCGTATAAGATAAAACGAATTACCAGAAAAATATTTTTCTTTAGAAAAAAAGTTTATAATTTATATATACTCTCTGAATATTATTTGTTATACTATACATTCATATATGAATAATTTTGCTGTACTTACTCTAATATTGTTACATACACATTAAGGATAAAATAAAGTGTAAGGTAACTATAATTATTGACGAAAACATCATAAAACCATTACCAAGCATAATACGTATGATGCAACAAATGAAAGTGGCGATACCTCCAGAACTCTCGAAAAATACTGAAGTAAGTTAACAGATCTTAATCGAAATTTGTTATAAATTTCTATCAAATATACATATATTTTCTTTGATAAGTAATGTCTTTCATAATTTGTTTAGCAAATTCAGCTTATATTAGAAAGAGATAAAAAGGACTACGCTATGTGTGACCAAGTGAAATCGTTTGGTTTTTGTGAGGAATTTTCTTTGCGAAACACTTGCGAATTCAGGCATTGCGTGATTCCCGAAATTGACGTGCCAATTGTTGACATACAAAAGTAAACAAGTTTTTATTAACTTTCACTTTATAGTGTTATGCATTATCTCATACGTTTTTAATTTTTTTCCATAGAACCGATAAGATAAAATTCAGAATAACACATACTCATGACGTGACACATTTTTCGGCGAGAATACTTGAACATATTCCACACTCAAGCACATCGAGAAAAATAACGTTTTCTAATGTGGAGTACATGGAAAATCGGTTAAAAATTCAAAACTACTTTCACAAGGATGAAAACAGGTATTGTATTGTATTATATTGTACTATAAATTTTCTTGTTCAGTTTAGTTGCTATCCAAAGATAGCAATATGTTTCCATATGTATTTTTGAAAACTGTACAGGAAAATGTGTATCTCTACTAACGTGGGTGATATCTGCGTTTTGGAACACCCTAAGGAAAAGTTTAACCGAGTACAAATTCGACGTATCAGACGGGATAGAAACGTTTCCAAACACGTCAACTTTGTGGACTTAAGATGCGTGGATACCGGTGTCATATATGAACACATCAACGTAAGATTATTATACTTTGAAACATACACGATATTTATATTCAAATTGTGTTTATTACATATTTACAAATTTTATAGCTTTGTGACATTTTTTCCCAAGTGTATATATCTTTTGTATACTAATATATAAGATGTAAACACTGAAACAAAATTTCATGCGACATAATTGTTACAGACACGTCAGTTACTACACATTCCGGACGAATTAATGAATCTTCCGAGCCATATTATGGAAATATATTTAGCTGGAGTGAAGCCATGTGACGAGGAATATATGTGGAATTATGACACCAACGAATTCGTTCACAAGTGGCTTGTAGAAAATTACGACGAAGGATGTTACCTTACTGGAAAAGTGAGTGTGATCTACCGCACTGTGTGAGAAGATAAAAAACAAATATATGCAAATAAATTATTTGCAGGTGTGTCTTACTCTCGGGAATACGATTTGGTTGGAAGATGTTCAAATTGGAGTAAAAGTGATCGGTCACGCAGACATGATGTTCTCCTTGAAAAAGAAGCTGATCGATGAAAACTGTACAGTTCGGAACGAAGAACACATACCGAATCTGATCAAACTTTGCGAGATCGCAGGATTGACAGTCAATTGACATTCTTGAATTGGATTTCATTTCTTGAATTTACTTTACGCAAGTAAAGTAATTTTTTACCATATATATAATACTTCTATATTGCTAGTACGGTGCCGACCTGAAGCCCAAATGTTACGGTGCAGACAATATAGTAGCCACTCTCTCTCGCGCAAGGTCCAGCTGCTTTGTGCGCATGCGGTGAACATTCAAGCACGCTTGGGCATTTCTCTTTCTCGCGTTCTTTCTCTCACTTTCCAATGCTTTGTCTCGCTCGCACTCGCTTAGTAGACGCGCCTGCGCTTAATGACGCTCGACTATCTATGCCCATATTTGGACTTCGTGCGTCTCTCTTTCTCGGGCCTCGTGCCTCTCATTGCGAAGATACGCGACTAGCAATATAGAAGTATTATATATGTTTTTTTACTAAAAACAAAGACTACGAATTGTATTATGTACATTATAATTGTTTTATTTTCCTGTATATTCATAGTTCACGAGGTATAAAATGTTACATTACGATGTTAATTTTGTACATTGATAATTTTGTTTTTTATACATCTCTGAGACTCTATTAGGTCTACCGGAAAGTTCTGTCTGTTTTTGGAATAAAACAAAATACAAAGTTTTCTTACCGTCAATAAACTTTATTAAATAATATAATTGCCATTATTATTAATGATTTTTTGCCAGCGTGAGGGCAATTTGTATATCCCATTTTTGAAAAATTAAGAAAAATTCGTATTTTGTTTTATTCCAAAAACGGGCAGAACTTTCCGGTAGACCTAATATATAGATTTTATAAGTTTTATAAAAAAAGATGAAGGTAATAATAAAATACATTAATTTTGAAATGTTAATGCTGTTTAAATTAATGTAATCTTACATACTTATCAAAGCTTTTCCTACTGTACGTTAATAAATTGACTTTTGGTATCAACTTCGCTGCTCTCAGTATTTCAAGTCGCTCGCGTAGCGTTTCCAAGTTAAAGAAAAATACCCGCGGATAACGTATTATTTCGTCACCTTTTATACCGTACTGTTGCAGCATACTAATCAATTGGTCTAATTTATGTACATTCACTCGCAAGACAGACGGCCACTTTTTACTTGTTTTTTCAAGAGTCTGTTCACTGATGTTTAATTTTTTCACTAAATATTCTTTAACACTATATTCTTTCAACACCTCTTGTTGCAAAAGGATCTTCTTTATATTTCTGTGTAAGAAAAAATTCACGTTAAATAACAGTCAACATTTTGTGTTTTTCACATTGTGATTTGGTTTCATTGTCATTCTACAATTGTTATCGTTACATACCTTTCAAATGCGCATTCGGATAATACTAAAAGAGTTAGTGTTGGAGCAATATTATTTTTCTTTAAAATCTCAATGCGATTCTTTATGGTTTCCGTGTTGAAATAAAAAATACGATCATTTCGTAAAATCTCTTTGCTACAAATTCTATTTTGATGTAATAGATTAATTATCCGATCTAATTTCGATAGATTTATACGTAAAATATGCGGCCATTTCGTGAGGGCAAGATCAAGAGTTTCCTCATTAACCTTCAATTTGGTTAATAAATATTCACTGACAGTAGTGTGAGATTTCAGTAAGCCGCGTCTTATGTAATTTCTTTCAACAGCTCTGATGGAAAAATAAAACTATTGATTTTTTCTTGCTTACAGAGTAACACGACAATAATATCAGTAAAATACAAATATTATTTCTCATGCACAATTTTTGTATGTAAATAAGATTCTAAATACAGAGAAAAGAAAAATCAATAAGTATCACATTTTTCTACAAATCTTTTTGATAGTACCTTGCTATAACTCGAAGTGGACATCTTATGGCCCATGGTCTTATCTCCAAGTTTCCTGTGTCCTTGTACAATTCACATCTGTGACGAATATGATTTTCACTATATCGAAGTACCCACAAATCATTTAGTATACGCTCATTATTCACATTATATTCTGCAAAAACAAACTATTTAAAACTGATTATTTTCTATCACGTTTTATATAATATTGTTGTCTTCAAGTTTCTCACCTTGCAATACATTTAATTTTTTCTCCAAGAATGAAATTGGGATTTTGAGTATAAATGGATATCGCACTGTTAATTCAGCCAACTTTTCTATGCTACACTACAAAAAAGCAACAATCATGTAGTATACACGCAGAGATCATAAAATGTAATACACTGCAGCACACATGAAAAAATCTACGCACAAAAAGGTAAACAAACAGACTCTTATAATCCTTAAACATATGTAATCATTTTCTTAAGAGAAAAAAATTATTTTACACAATCTTAATATTTACACTTACATAAAGAAATTACCTTCAATCTATCAGCGAGATATTCTACTTTGTTATATGTATAGAAATACATGTCATTTTGACAATAATGTACATAATTTTCGAGTTCTTCCTGAGTCAAGCGTAACCACGACACAAGGTGATCGTTATTCATATTGAGAGCATCGATGCACTTGAGTTTATCTTCAATTTTATTGTTCTCGTGCGCCAACAGCCAGACGTTTCTCCTAATAGTACTTTTTTGAACACCTCTTTCTAACAAATTATAATAATTGTTCAGAACATTCGCCCTAGATCTTTTTTTCAATTGCGGATAATCTATAATTATTTTATTCGCTTCCGGCAATGATATATCCAATATTTCTCTGAGAGTCTGTATCATAACCTTGACGATGGGCTTGTAATTTGTCAGATAATCGTCAAAATTCGATACCTCGCAGGTGTGATCCCGCAACACATCCGTATCTTCCTCATCTATATTTTTGTGCACCCATCTCTTTTGCGTCGAAAACTGGACAGAAGATGAATATTCCGTCAGATGCTGCGACGAAACGCACCTCACAACCTGCAACTTTCGAGGCTGAGATTTCAACGCGATACTTGCAATCACTCGTTGCAAAAATCTAGCCATTTTTATCGGAAACTACGCTCTTGTTATATTCGGCTGTCATTACGCATCTCCGTAAAATTTTAATTATCGTCGCGCTCGCTCGATTAAATAAAAACATTCGCAGTTTCGTCAGGTCTGGTAGAATTGACTAATCGTATTGGGTGCGTTCAGACAACTCAACAGTTGTACAACGGTTGAGAGATAATCACTTCTGATTGGATCATACTTTTGGAACCGCATCAGATTTTGAAGAATAGTCCTATCATAAGTGATGATCTCTTAAGAGCCGTCTACAAAAAATTGACAAATCACAATCGATTATTCTTCTGTACTTTGTCTGTGATTGGTCAATTTCTTACTATTACGGCCTACAACTCTCCATTGTAGACGGCTCTTTAAACGTTGAATTATCTGAACGCACCCATTGATCAAATCAGCCAATTGATTGGGTGCGTTCAGACAACTCAACGGTTGAGAGATCATCACTTATGATAGGACTATTCTTCAAAATCTGCTGCGGATCCAAAAGTATGATCCAATCAGAAGTGATTATCTCTCAACCGTTGTGCAACTGTTGAGTTATCTGAACGCACCCATTGGTCAATTCTGCGAGATCTATATCTTGCGTTTGCGCTTGCGATCAATGTAGAACGGGCTTTAAGCCTATTCTACGTTAAGCGCAAGATGCAATCGCAAATAGCAGGTCTTGTGGAATTGACCAATCACGTTGCTCAATTGGCTGATTTGATTGCGTCTCAATGTAGAACAGGCTTAAAACCTGTGTGTGTCTATCATTCCAGTAATTTTACAGACTTCATATCACTCTCCCACGAAAGTTTTGCGGCAACATCGCTGCGCGACTCTGTATATTTATTTATTATACGATTTGTCGATAATTTTGTATATATATGACAAGTGGACATCGCGGCGGTCACGGACGCGTTCCGTACGCGAGCGCCGCGATGTCCACGTGTCAAACACGTAAACTACACACTTCAGTAGATAAAAACGCTATCTTTCTAAGTGATCTGGTTCTGTTCCGCGCTACGTGCGCGCGTTTTGATTTCGATACTTCGAGAATCGAATTATATCGAGAGGTATACCTATATATACTACAAACATATTACATTATGTGAGTGTGAAGGTATAATAAAATAGCTAAGCCGCGCATCTGTCCCTTTCATTTTCCTCTGTGCTAAGTCTGGCTTATAAAGTCGGCTCAAAACAGCGTGTCACGGCCGTGTACCACAGATGTTTTTTACGACGCGCGCATAATATTCTTTCTTCTTCATCTGCCAGTTGGAAAAACGGCAGCGCTCGAAGAGTTTTGCGGTTCGAAAGAATTTGACGCGCGCGAAATCAATGCGCATCCTTACGGATCGAAATTCGCATCGAGTCGTAAAATTTAATTAATTATCAGCCTCAACAAATGCAATCAATTATTGTATTTTGCGAAAGACCGAGTTATATAGTATGTGTATTCCTATTACCTAGCCGTTTCAATATAGGTATACGAAATTCAAGTTGAATAGTTCCGGAACAATATTAAGCGGAATCGAGGAAGTGTTATGAAACCACTCGCAATTTGTATAATTATCGCAATGGTCACGGTACGTCGCGAAAGTATTATTGTCCGCGCACAAGCGAACAATAGTACGTAGTACGGAAATCAGTATGTCGACACGCTTTAGCGAGTTTCTGCATATTTGCGACATTGCACTGTGCGAAACAACACATACACACACGCGCACGATTTTTCGAAAGAAATTACTTCAAAGGTACGTATGTAGAAAAAATGAACTTCTTAAGGACTTAAGAAAATTTCGTAGATATTAAATTCGAATAAAAGACTTTATTTGTGTGTGTGTGTGAGAGAGAGAGAGAGAGAGGAAGAAAAAACAATTAAATGATCATTTTGTTAGACCTCGTAAAAGGTTATTTTATTCGAAAAGTGTGTGTTTTACTCCGTTTTACAGTTAAACCTTAAATGTGTATTGACGCGAGCGAATTCCGCAGTCAACCGTCTCTCCAGCGCGGAGAAACTGCGAACTTTATTCCGTCGAGCGTGTAGATTATTAGTATTATTATTATTATTGTTGTTGTACGAATAGAGAAAGACTGTGCTTTCACCCGAGAGTTGCCACGTGATACTGCAAATCAGTTCGCGTCGTCTGCAGGCAGATGCGCGCGGATGCGTTTTGTCTCGTGAAAGTTCTTCTCTCGGGCTCGGTGTGTATTCCGCGGAATTTCGCCATGCAAGCGGGAATCGAGATACGTCGCGTTTCTGAAAGTGATGGAGCATGATTGAGCACACGTACGTATTGTATATATATACAAAATATCGACAAATCGTATAATAAATAAATATACAGAGTCGCGCAGCGATGTTGCCGCAAAACTTTCGTGGGAGAGTAATATGAAGTCCGTAAAATTACTGGAATGATAGACACACACACACACACATACACACACATTATCTCTCTCTTTCTCTCATTGAACAAATAATTATTTATTAAAATTTTTGCACATGTTGATGTTATAATATAATTGTTCCGCGCTTATACATCGCGTTCCGCATTGTCTTCGACTCAACTTAGTTTTCACAAACAATTAGAATCTCGTTTGACATGCATTTCATCCGCGCTCTTGTCACTTCTTGTCGCGCGCAACAACAACGCGATGTGCTGAGCAACCCGAGCGCAAAATACGACCGTGTCGCAACACCACCGACTGTTGTGCACATCAGAGACCGCTAACTCGCGAAAAATGAAAAAACACCGTTCGCCAATCAGATCGCAGACTTATACGCAGCCATATTCGTTTTGTACATGAGAATCGAGCCGTATACACAATTGTGGGAAGGGAGTTGGCGGTCTGGCGTTGCGCGCCTGGTCCGTGACCGTCGCCCGTTTCGAAATTGCGGTGCGCGCTCGAAATAACTTCTGCGGAGCTATCGCTCCATCGGCCAATTGCAACTTGCAATAATTAGACGAAAGAAAGAGAGTCTCGCGAGTGAATTAATACGTTTCGGTGTTTCTCGTCAGATTCTTCGCGAATTTGCGCGCGATATTTTTTCTATACGAAACGCACCGGGAAACGTGTGAGAGATGCGAGTCGCAGTGATTCGCGATGTCGCGGCACGTCGCGGCATCGAAATTTGCGGTTCAAATGCCGGTTGTGAATGTAATCGAAAGTGGAATCCCTGCTTAGTGAGAACCATCGAGAGGAGAAATGGCGGTGAGACATTACGCGCATCAGTACACGGCGAAGTTAACGGGCGAGAAAATCACCGGCGGAAATGTCAGCAGCGAGAACAGCGACGCGGAGGATTACTACCCGCTTATCCATCATGGCGCGAACGTTGCGACAATTAATGCAAATGCGCGAAAGCGAGCGAAAAACATCGGCTGGAACGAGACGGTGAGTACAAATAAAGTTTGTTTTATTTTTCAAGAAGCGGCCTTGCCGATGTTGTCAGCGCGCAAAGAGTGAAAAAAATCCACTTTTACAGAGAAATTTTTTTTCACAAAGAATTTTTTCACTTGTTTTTAGTTTTGCCTTGATGTTTTCAAAATATCTCAAATTTTACTCCGTCGCTTGCTGGAAACTCACATTTGCGAACCCGATTAAAGTGAGGCATCAAAAGATTAGCCGCGTTCGCACGTTATTAGGAGATTAAAAGATTTGGGGGGGGATCTCATTAAATGCGTCGAATCATGTTTTGCTAGAATTCATCACCGCGTGTTTCATTAAGAACATAAAATGACGTGCATTCATCGTGTCCTAACGTGTGTTTTCCCGTGTATGCGCGTAAATTAACATAGCGCGATAATATTTGCATAGATGCGCGCGCTTATCGTTAACACCGATATTTCGCGAAACGATATAACTATTCTTTATTTTTCTTGCGTACAAAGAGTGTAAAAAAGTAAAACATATGAAACAATTATTTATATTTACTTTTGGATAATTTAGTTTTAAATTAGTTTATTTTTAGTTTAGATAATTATTGTTTTTATTATTTTTAGTTTAGATAATTTATTCCACTCTGACGTCAATGCGCATTTTTCTCACAACGTTCTCATACTGTAGAGTACGATTTTGAAATAAGTTTTGGGAGAAAATGATACCAGGGCGATACTTATTAGACAAATAATTTTTTTGTCAACGTCAAAGTCACGCGTGAGAAATGATAACAGTTTCCTACACACACCCAGAAGCATGTTGAGTTGCCTATCTCTCAGGCGCGCTCTCGATACGCGATTCATCGGACCGGCAAAAAATTCCGTTTGGAAAAACAAACTTTACACATCTCACAGAAGTTGTTGAAATTGAATCTCTTCGGAGATCCCATGTGTTTTGTTTTGACAAAAAAAAAAAAAAATTGAATAACTGTAAGACGTATCGCTCAATGTCTTAACACATTCTGCTGGCTTCTGTTTTCTTCAACAAAACAAATTGTGACGCAACGTGGCTCGCAATGTAACGTATATACGCGAAGATAATCGATAGAAACAAAACAAAACAAAACAAAAAAAAGACACGCGTAGAGGCGCGTCAATCCAACGTCGGCGTCACATAAACTGCGAGCTTTGTGACTAAGAGAAAGATGCAGTACGCCTGGGGGAACTATAAATCTAACCTCATCGTCGTCGACGTTCCAGTCACGTGCCGCAGAGAGTTGCATTTCCTCGTTCTGCGTCATCCCTTCTTTCTTCGTTTCCCATCGCCGATCGTCACCACCCGTGTGTGCGGCGGCAGCCACTCGAAACCTTTTCTTTGGACTTGTTGCATTGCGGCGACCGTTGCACCTGCAGTTTATACAACCTGCTTCTTTATACCCGAAGCGACCCTCTTCGAACCTTTTCAATGCGCCTCTCTTATGGGGTGAGAGATAAAAATTTCTCACTCTTCTCTATCGGGGTATAGACATCCGAGAGATACGCAGAGAGCGAGATCTCTTTCACACATGCCACGTATACATATATATATATATATATATACCGTGTGTGTATGAGCGACGTTTGAAAATATGTAAAAAAAATGTTGATCTCTCTCTTTTATTTCAAGTGTCTTATTTACATTAATATTTGCGATATCCGCATTAAATGCGTATTTCACTATAGTGTCGCACTTGTATCTG